GGGGGGGACTTAAAATACAGGATCTGAAGGAGGGGGGAAGGGGGAGGGGAGAAAGCTAGAAATAGCGATAAAGATCAAAACGAGTAAGCTATTTTAAAATAAATTTGCCAAGTTAAAAAATCCCTTCATATTCACTTTTTATGCAAGGTAGAAGCACTGGGAAGTTTCCCGGGGATTACAAATGCCAATGTAGGTTACCCTTAATTTAAGGTTAGCTGAAAATTTGTTAGAAAATGCAGAAATAAGTGATGGAAAAGGTCTAAAAAGAATAGTAAAGAGTAAAAAAGGGGAAGAAGTAAAAAGAAGTAATAAATCAGGTAAGAAATGTTTCGGTCCCTTAACTCTTATTTCAAGGGTTTCCTGGAAATAATTCGATTGTGGCTAACAACTCATGCCATATTTTTTTTTCTGAATTTTTTGAAGATAACCTGACTTTTTCGAAAATTTTTTGAAGATAGCGAAAATTCAACAACTCTTTCATATTATGCACAAATTCGGGTAGTTTTTTTTTTGTCCCTCATTTTTCCCCCCTTTTTTTCTGTATTCTTATAATAACTATTCTATCTTATACATTACCTTGTAAATTCTGCCTTCATTATGAGGGTTTTTGAACTCATTTGACATGCTCTACATATTCGATTTTTTGCCAGTCTTTCTCGTTCAGCCTAGTTATTTTCGTTTAAAAAATCTGCTTTTTTCTGTGATCCTGCTTTGCCTATGTTATTTCTTCGTTTCTTCTATATGTTGCATTGTTTTTGAAAGCTTCCAGACAAAAAAATTCCTCAAAAGTTTTGTATTATGGTGCCTATTTTGTTTATTTATATTATTTAATAAATATTTTTTTGCATTTTTGCTTGTGCAAATTACCTCATGACCGGTAATTCGTTGCTCCGGCATGTTTTTTGGAATCTGCAGCTCTTACGGTAACGCGCGGAAGAGGGCCAGAGGATTTGCGCGCCTGTGGAAGAGGCTCCCGTTGTGGAGCTGCGGGGACACTCGCCCAAATCAACAAACAAAGTTTTATTTAAGAAAGGCAAACACAGAAAAAAAGTCAAACCGCAGAGAATTCGGCAGCAGCTCCAAGCTGTCACTTGACACCGAAAAAAACAATTTCCATTTCATTTCTAATCACATCATTACATATCACGAAGAGGGGACCTCGAGTCAGGAGACGGGACGTTTGCATATCACATGGAATCGAAGGGCATCTGGACACGACGGAGGGGTTTAGCCGGCAGCTTCGTTTCTTTGCTGTTAACAAATTGTTCCTTTTGCAACGCTCACGGAGGCATTTTGCCGAAATCTGAAATTTTTGAAATGTATTTTAGCATTACTTGGTGGATTAGCAGTTTCAGGATGAACAAATTTTGTATTCAAAGGGTGCTGCACTTTCGGAAGCGCACATTGCTAGTCCCGGTATTACCGAAAAGGCAGAAAGGAGCATTCTCCGGCGCTGCACTTGTTCAAGCAACCCCAAAAAGTATCCAGCCATATCTCAGGCTTATGCGTGTCGATAAGCCAACAGGTCTGTTTAGTTTTAATTCAACTGTTACCAGTGCATGATGCAGTTTTGATTGATATTCTTCTGGACCAGTATAGTCACCTAGAAGCGCAGATTTGGGATACATTTATTAAGAAGCTTATGAGTTTTTTGGAACTGAGTTTTTCCTTTTTTTTTTCAAAAATTAGATTTTTTTTTCAAATTTCAAAAATTAGTGAAATTTCAGGTTTTCAAATTTCAACTTTCAAAAATTACGTGAATTTGAGATTTCTAGAATCTTTGAAAATTAACTGGTCAACGGCAATGCGGTAATCATTTGGTTTGGCATACGATTTAGTACTTATGGAGTGTAGTACGAGGCTTGTCAGGGGGATTTTTTTGGATTTCCTCCAGTAATAGCTTCGAGACAACGAGGGGGCTGTGTCAGGGGTACCATTCTTCTTCAGTAGTCTACCTCCGAGACAGTTCTTCGGAAAGTGAATTATTGATGGCAGTAAAAGCTCCGCTGATGAGGGGAAGTGATTTTGATAGGGTGCCTAACTGGTTAGCGAAGCTTCCAGTTAAGAATTCTGAGATTGTCAATTTTATATTTCTTGTGCGTATGCTATCATGACAACCATCACTCTACTGCCTCTGAAGCTGTGATGTTTAAAATCCGGACTTTTTGATGCCAAACAGTATTTAATAAACGAGACTTAACCCGTTCTTTTTCGAGGCATATAGTAATAAAAATAGTTGTTGGAGAAGTTTCTATAACTAATCCTAAGCTTTTTAACTGTTTATTTATAAATCACCTTTACAATAATAATAGCAATAATGGTAATAACAACGATAATAATAACAACAATAGTAGTAATAATAATAGTGAGAATAATAATGACAATAATAATAATCGTAATATTAATAATGATGATAATAACTGTGATAATAATTCTGTGACTAATCCTAAGCTTTTTAACTGTTTATTTATTTATTTATAAATAACTTTAACAGTAATAATAGCAATAATACTAATAACAACGACAATAATGACAATAATAGCAGTAATTAGCGGTGATGATAATAATGCCAATAATAACAGTCATAATAATAATGATAGTAATAGTGATAATAATAGCAGCAGTAATAATAATAATAACAACAACAATAATAATAATAATAATAATTTACTCATTGAGGTGTGTGGTTGCTATACTGGCCCTGTACTTGGTCCATATCACTGGCTACACCAGCAGGACTGTTGCCTGATCCGAAAATGCTGGCCCTGTTTGGCGCCGGTGCATTCCTGATGCGATCAGCTGGTTGCATAGTCAACGATATATTCGATAAAGACTTCGATAAAATGGTACACTTAGATCAGTTTTCATCGAATTTCCCTGCTCATTTTACGCTTAGCTTAATCCGTTCCAGTTTATTTATCAAAGCTTAAAAGTTACTAACTGCACCTGAAATGTTGGATCTCGGTGCTTAGCGAATTAGAACTGCATAAGTTAGCAATTACTTACTTATTTCCGGTCTTCCATTTCTTTCATTTCTTCTGTTTTACATTTCTTTTATCTTAATTAATTGTATACCTCACTAAATTATTTTGTTACCACAATCGTCGTACTGACGAGATCCAGTTGTAGTAGCGGTAAGAAATGTATACGACTTAATGGACCGAAACATTTACCTATTACAAATATTTCTTCGGTCCCCTTTCCCATCTTACTACCCTTTTCCTCGTTTTCTTTGTTTTCTTTCCTTGATATTTTCTCTTCAACCTTTAATAGAAGCTTAAAAATTACTAACTGCGCCTGAAATGTTGGGCCTCGGTGCTTAGTTAATTTTAACCCCCTTACATTCCTTCTTAAATTTGGGTGCTACAGCGAAGAAAAAACTTCCTGTTTCCAGCTGGTACATTCAGGATTAGTTCAAGTAGTAGTACTTACCAACGGCAGTTAATTTTGGTTGCAAAGCTTTCAGCAATTATTGTTTGAGGATTGCTTATAACCAGGCTGATGACAATTTTAATTGCCTGACATGTGATACTACCAGTTTGTTATTGAAACGATTCGGAGGGGAGCTCGTTTTTTGCGCTAGCGCAATGGGATGCTTAATATTCAAAAAAGCTTTCGACTGGGCGTTGTGTTTCTCCATTTGTTGAGGTTTTCAAAAAAAAAAAAATCGTACTTTTTTTGCGCTTTTTTGCATCTATGCAATGCGGGAAACGTATATTGACGAGAGGTTGTCTATGTATGTGTGTGTCTGTGTGTTTGTCTGTACCGATTTTTCATCTCGAGACCTACAAAAGTTACAGGGCCGACACTTTGGGAAATTAATCTACATGCACAAATGGCTCTCCATCTTTAGAATAGACACTCATATCCACGTGTCCTCACGTACAGGTTTGTGAAAATTTTCGGCGAATAAGCTGCTAATTTGGGAAACAGAGAAGCTAGAAGGCTGAAGTTTTAAGGGAATGTTCCCCATCCACGCTGCCCAGTTATTTACTATTAGTATGCGTTTAAAAATTAAATACTTTATTCATTTCCTCATCTAATCGGTTAACAAACAAGTGTTAATATCATATACTGTTGAGTGGCTGTTCAGGTTGAGCGGACACGTTCAAGGCCACTAGCCAGCGGCGAACTTACTGATCGTGATGCCGTCATGCTGTTATCAGTTTTGTTATCTGCATCATTGGGAATATTGCTGCAGTTCAATTGGCTCAGGTTTGCCCCTTTTTTTCAGATCCAGGCTCGGATTTGCCCCCTTTTTCACTCCGGTGTTTCGCCGGGTATTTATACTGCCATCAGGATTTAGACAGTTAAGTTCAGTCTGTATCAATTCAATAA